CGCTGATCCCTCCGCCGCGGCGCGGATTTCGTTGCTACGGCGCGGGTTTCACTGTTACATGGCGGACTTCACTGCTCTTTGCCCGGACTTCGCTGCTACGGCGTGCACTTCGCTGCTACGGCGCGCACTTCGCTGCTACGGCGCGCACTTCGCTGCTACGGCGCGCACTTCGCTGCTACGGCGCGCACTTCGCTGCTACGGCGCGCACTTCGCTGCTACGGCGCGGGTTTCGCTGCCGAGGCACCGGATTGCGCTGCTACGGCGCGCAATTCGCTGCTACGGCGCGCAATTCGCTGCTACGGCGCGCACTTCGCTGCTACAGCGCGCACTTCGACGCTACGGCGCGGGCTTCGCTGCTACGGCGCGGATTTCGCTGCTACGGCGCGGATTTCGCTGCTACGGCGCGGATGTCGCTGCTACAGCGCGGGTTTTGCTGCCTAGGCGTGGATGTCGCTGCTATGACGGGGATTTCGCTGCCACGGCGCGAATTTCGCTGCTACGGCGTGGATTTCGCTGCTACGGCGCGATTTTCGCTGCTGCGGTGCGGATTTCGCTGTTACGGCGCGGGTTCCACTGCCTAGCTGCGCGCTGCTACCTGCAGTTCGCGGGCTAAGCGGCTAAATCACCGGTTGGTCAGCAAGATCGCTGCTTTGCAGCTAGGTCGCGGGCGGGGCGGCTAAATCGCTGGCTAAGCGGCTAAGATGCGGGCTAGGCGGCTAGATCGAGGCGTAGGCGGCTAGATCGCGGGCTGGGCGGCTAGATCGCGGGCTGGGTGGCTAAATCGCGGGCTGGGCGGCTAGATCGCGGCCTGGGCGGCTGAATCGCGGGCTAAGAGGCTGAGTCGCGGGCTACGTGGCGGGATCGCGCTGCTACTAGCGAGGAAAGAGCTGCTGCCTAGCGGGAGTCGCGCTGCTGCCTAGCGGGAATCGCGCTGCTGCCTAGGTAGCGGGAATCGCGCTGCTGCAAACGCCCAGTCACTTTGTGCGCCAATGAACCTTTTGTGAAATGATAGACCCGAGACATCTTTTTAAAATCCACAGACATGCATTGTTGATGCAATGATGAACATACGTAAAAAAAAATAAACATGCATGCACACAATGATTGTACACACACACACACACACACACACACACACACACACGAAGGCAAATTGACAATGATAGAACCGCATACAAATGCATAAACTGAAAAGACAAGTAGGAAGAAATGAAAACAGAAGATGCAAAATATATGAACAACAATCTAAATCAAATTCCACAATCCAAAATTTCCCAATCGCTTGGCTCAATCGTAAGGTAGTTAATCTGGCGTACGCGCAACCTGGTGAAGAAATAAAACAAGCATGAACGAGAAGAAGGGATAAAGAGCGAATACGGTGAAAGAAAATCAACAGAAAGAAAGAAGCAGAGAAAACCTGAATGGATTCAAAACAAGGGAGACAGGACGAGAGAGAGGGGACGAGAGAGAGAGAACAAACGAGAACGAGAGAACGAGAGGGATAGAACGAGAGAGAGAGAACGACAGAGAGAGAGAGAGAACGAACGAGAGAGAACGAGAGAGAGAGAAAGAGAGAAAGAGAAAGAGAGAGAGAGAGAGAGAGAGAGAGAGAGAGAGAGAGAGAGAGAGAGAGAGAGAGAGAGAGATGTGAGAATCGTAGGCATAGTGAGGAGCCATAGCTAGGTAAGCCCCAGCTAGGCAAGAGAGAATAAGCAAAGGAGGGTGTTCACTAGAAAGCAGCAGGATACATATAGGAAACCCTAAGGGGTTGTACTCGCTATAGAGTACCCCACTGCAGGCTAGAGAACAATAACATTCTGACACACCCCCATAGTCAAAGTGGGGTATAATCAGCAGAGCAAGTAGTCCTAGAGCAGGTTCACATGCACAAGTAAAGCTAGAGGCAGTCGCAGAGGGCAAGTGAGGAGGAGGAGGAACTGTGGAAGGAGAGAAGATGGGAGGCAACGACTGAAGCTGCAGAGGCACGGGCACAGGAGCGGCTGACTCAGTGGCTACCGAAGCAAGGGCGACGGACTACTGGAGTAACTGGCTCCGCGGCTATAGACGAGCGGCAGGAGCAACGGACCCACTGGCGACTGGTGCAACAGGCTCACTGGCTACCGAAGCAAGGGCGACGGACTACAGGCGCTGCAGGCGACACGACCGCTACCTCCACACAACCTCCTCCAGCTGCCCCACGCCCCTCTCACACACCCCCTGCTCAAGCCCTAGCTCCACTCCCACGGTACCCCCCTTAAACCCTAAACCCTAGGCTCCCACACACCCACCCCCCTCAGCGGCAGCTGCAGCAGTGGGAGACCAGGGAGGAGGAGGAGCAAGGGGAGTAACACACAACCGCCACCCCCACACTCCTCACCCCCAAACCCTAACTCAGGAGAACGGGCAGCAGCAGGGGTGGGGCACCGTCAGAAGCACGGGGGACAGCGAGCAGCTCAGGGACAGAGAGGAACGGGCCGCCCACGGGCCTGGCACAGCCCGACGAACCGCGCGCAGGCGGCCCGAGCCGCGCGCGGGCCTGGCGCAGCCCGTACGGGCCGCGCGCGGGCCTGGCGCAGCCCGTACGGGCCGCGCGCGGGCCTGGCGCAGCCCGTACGGGCCGCGCGCGGGCCGGGCGCAGCCCGTACGGGCCGCGCTCGGGGCTAGCGCAGCCCGCGCTGGCCAGGACGGGCGACGGGGGACGACGGGCTGGTCCCCGTCGCCCGTCGAAGCGCCCCCCGGGGGCGACGCGCGGACCGACGGGGCAGAAGGCCGCCGCGCGCCTCGGGGCGCACGGCGGGCAGAGAACCGCCGCACGCCCCGGGGCGCACGGCGGGCAGAAAACTGCCGCGCGCCTCGGGGCGCACGGCGGGCAGAAAACCGCCGCACGCTCCGAGCGCGCGGCGGGAAGAGAAATCCGTCGCACGCCACGGGGCGTGCAACACACAGAGTAGCAGCGGAAGCAGCAGTAGGGCCCACAGGCCAGGAGCGTGAGTGCTCTGATACCATGTGAGAATCGTAGGCATAGTGAGGAGCCATAGCTAGGTAAGCCCCAGCTAGGCAAGAGAGAATAAGCAAAGGAGGGTGTTCACTAGAAAGCAGCAAGATACATATAGGAAACCCTAAGGGGTTGTACTCGCTATAGAGTACCCCACTGCAGGCTAGAGAACAATAACATTCTGACAAGTGAGAGAGAGAGAGAGAGAGAGAGAGAGAGAGAGAGAGAGAGAGAGAGAGAATGAGAGAGAGAACGAGAGAGAACGATTTTGGGGTGGACGCAATAAGGAAGGTTCACAAAATAAAACGACATGCTACTCGGTCAGAGTGAGGAATCAACTACGCCATGCTCCCAGTCACTCTCTCTATCTATTTCTCTCTCTCGCTCGAGTTCATTTTTCTTTATGCAATCAACGATGACATGCTCGCAGTCACTCTCACTATCTGTTTCTCTCTCTCTCTCGCTCACGTTCATGTTTTTGTAAAGGAACGGCAAAAGATAGATCTATGAGCATAAGTAAACAAAGTTTGACGCGGTAGTACGGATGTAGCAAAAAAAGAAGGAAAACATGGAGGTAAAACAAATACTAGCAATGATACATAAACGAAGGAAAGGAAAACGGACGGAGAAACGCAAACAACTCACCATGAGCAGATCTACATATCTGGACGCCGACGCTGCTGTAGTCCACGGCCACAGTAACAAGCACCACAGTCGTGATCGGAAACGCAAAGGATATAAAATGTAAAAAAAAAAGGTTAGACGGTACTTCAATAGAAATGGGGGAATCGTCAGTGTAAGAAAGGAGCAAAGTTGAAAGGGGAATAGACAGAATGGGAAAGACATTGGCTAAAGGAATGGAGGTGAGAAGGTAGAGAATAGAGTATGCGTGAAAACTACGACGAGTACGAACGGAAGAGAAAGGAATAAGGTAAACAGACTACGTTACTGAGCAAGGGTGTGGAAATAAAGTAGAGAAAAGGAAATAACGACCACGAAAACAAAAGGTGGCATAACTAGAAAACGATATCGAAGGAAACTAGTAGGCGACGACTATATCCTTGAGCTGACGAAGACGCAATCTAGGAAATAAATGGACATACCAGTGTGTCTACGAGAGAAGCCAAGCAAGAACTAGCGTCTGCTGCTGGGGAGAGTAAGCGAACGAGAGGAAACAACGAGAAGAAAAGGGAAGAAATGAAACCCTAGGGAATGCAAACTTCTCGCAAAATTATGTGTTGTAGATTTATAATGCGACAAACGACATAGTGTCGGTTAGATTCGAATTAGCATCCGTAAGATGCTGGGTTCGAAACTTTAAGACATCACTGGCAACTTGTAATTTTTTTTTGATACATGTATTTCTAATTTCACACTTCCAACTAGTATTCCCCTAAAAAAAAAAAAAGCGCAACCCTACGACGACTTTCGTCGCCTCTTGTTTTTTTTTTTTTGGGGGGGGGGGGCGCTTTTGATTGAGTATCGGCCATAAGCGCCGGCGCTTATATACTGACAAATACAGAAACACAACTTAAAACCAGAATATAAAATAATGAACCCTGTCCCAACTTGAAATGGTGCTCCAGAGAACGGGCCGATAGAGCACTGTTCCAAAGAAAACGAGCAGGGGCTTGAACAAATGTGATTGGCTTTCGCCAATCTTGTGCTGTCTTGTTCCCGCCAAAATGTTTTTCCATCCGGATCTCCCTCGTCGCACGTTTTCGTGCTACACCTGCACGACGGTTGCCTGGCGTTGGTTTCCGTCGGAACTGGGTTTTATGACCACCTGCTCACCATCCCGAAGTCACTAGTTATATTCCTAGCATATTTTAGCTGGCAACAATAGGTGTTTGTGGCCAAGGTAGGTATCGCGCTCGACCCTCCAGGAATGCGTAAGACTGTCGCGTAGCATAGTATCGTAAGAATTTCCCCTCCGCAGGCTTTCGTTACCTTTCCGCATGGGCTAGTTTCCTGTATCGCGCCTTCGCCATCGCGCTTTCGTCCGATGTCCGTTCCCCTCCCATCACCTTCGCGGGTCTCTCTCCTCCCCCCCCGTCGCCTTCTATCTTCCCTCCCTCCCCGTCACCCTCGCTCTCCCTGTCGCCTGTCCCATGACCACCTGCTCACCATCCCTCCCGTCGACTGCGCGCTCTCCCTCCCGTCGCCTTCGCGCTCTCTCCCTCGTGGCCTTCTCGCTCTCCGTCCCATCGCATGGGCGCTCTCCCTCCCGTCGCCCTTGCAATTTCCCCTCTCTTCCCGTCGCCCACTTCATCTCCTATCGCTCACGTCCTCCCTTCCCGTCGGCATCGCGCTCACGTTCCTCCCTCCACTCGACATCGCCCTCACGTCCTCCCGTCCCGTCGTTCGCCTCCTCTCTCCCATCCCGTCGTTCACCTCTTCTCCCCTCCCACCCCATCGTTCGCTTCCTCTCCCCTCCCATCCCGTCGTTCGCCTCCTCTCCCCTCCCATCCCGTCGTTCCTCCTCTCTCCCCTTTCTTCCCGTCGCTTTTGCACTCTCCCCTCCCATCCGCTGGTTATTACCTTGCCAAACTTATTTTCTCCACCCTTTTTTTTTAACTTCTTTCAGCCCCAAGTCCAAGGATACGTATTTTAGCGCAGCTCTGCTCTCATCTCTTGCATATGGGTGTGTGCTGGATTTTCCCTGCGTTGTTGATTGATGTGAGTTTTGGTGAAGTCACATGAGCGCTCGAGTGAGTACAGGCATTGCAACCCCTTGCGCCAAATTCGCACACAAGTATGTGTGAGTTGTGTGTAAGTTTCACTGCCAGTCAGAATTGTACACATGGTCAAAATGTTCTCCGTTCACAATGAGACTCGTATGGAGCGGAAAAATAAAAAGCACAGCACTTCCAACTTTCCGAAGTGTTCCAAAAAAGACTCTGTTTTCAAGTGGACCCAACTAGAAGGGGGGGGTCACTATTTTAGCTGCTGGCTTTAAAGCCGGCAGCCCAAATTGCACAGCTGCAGCAGTATACATTTGGCAGCACTGTTGGAGTGATTACAGTGCCCAAAACGATTTCGCCCCAGCGAAAGTGAAACAGCTTGGCGAGAGTGTTGGCGAAAATTTCGAGCCCCTCCACCACTTCGGGGGAATTGTGTGTGTACAAAATAGATGCACCACTTGTCTCCAAACTCCAAGTATTGGTGCTATGGTATCACTAGTGCAAAATAGGTTCTAGGGTACCCCAAGACTCGCACTTAAGAGAAGTGCTTGGCCGGCAGACGCGACGCTGCATCCATATGTGTACGTCCCGCCCGCCTCCCGCGCACTCACTTCCCCCAGCGCGCATTCGCTCCCCCCGCGCGCACTCGCTCCCCCAGCGCTCACTCGCTCCCCGCACTCGCACTCGCTCCCCCAGCGCGCATTCGCTGCCCCCGCGCGCACTCGATCCCCTCGCGCTCACTCGCTCCCGCGCGCACTAGCTCCCTCCGCGCGCACTCGATCCCCCAGCGTGCATTCGCTCCCCCCGCTCTCACTCGCCCACCGCGTTCACTCACTCCCTCCACACGCACTCACTCCCCCAGCGCGCATTCACTTCCGCCGCGCGCACTTGCCCCCCCCGCGCTCACTTGCCCCCCCCGCGCGCACTCGCTCCCTCCGCGCGCACTCGCTCCCTCCGCGCGCACTCGCTCCCTCCGCGCTCACTTGCCCCCCCCCAGCTCACTCGCTCCCCTTGCGCTCACTCGCCTCCCCCGCGCTCACTCGCTCTCCCCGCGCTCACTCGCTCCCCCCCCGCGCACTCGCTCCCCCAGCGCGCATTCGCTCCCCCCGCTCTCACACGCTCCCCCCCCGTGCACTCGCTCATCCTCTCCCAAACGCTTAGGTCTCCTCCTTCCCCTCTTACTATCTCCTCCACCGCCTCTCCCCCCTTCTAACCGCTCGTCTTTCCCTCCCTGCATCCCCTCCTTTCCCTCCCTGCATCCCCTCCTTTCCCTCCCTGCATCCCCTCCTTTCCCTCCCTGCATCCCCTCCTTTCCCTCCCTGCATCCCCTCCTTTCCCTCCCTGCATCCCCTCCTTTTCCTCCCTGCATCCCCTCCTTATCCCCCCTGCATTCCCCCTGCTACCTATCGTATGCGTTGCCAGTGGTGCAGGCACTGGCAGGGCGTGTGGTGCGGCGAGTGCGGGCGGTGGTAGGGTGTGTGCCCACCAGGGACCTGGCTGCTCAGGTGGGTAATACGGTCATTCCCCCCTCCCCAGTAGACGCTGGCGTATGTGCTGCCAGTGATGCAGGCCCTGGTGGGGCACGTGGTGTGATGAGTCAGAGTGGTGGTTGTGTTGCCCACTCGAGACCTGGTTGTGTTATGGCGATTCTGTGCACACATATGCACACACATATTGCTGCCGTGCCCTTACACTCCCTTACTCGCAGACAAAGTCGAGTTTCAACCGTCAACCCTCCTCTCCCACCCTTGCCCCGCAACTTAACTTGTCTTTCTGTCCAATATACAATCCTGCTCTCCCCTTCTTCCTCTCTCACCTTCCTTGCCCCCCACTGTGCCATTCTGCCTACTACTGCAGGTGAAGCACGTGTTTGACACCATAGCGCTGGCTGTCGGCCTTGCAATAGCTCTCGTCATCGAATCATAGCTCGCTGACGAGGCAACCAACCTCGAGCCGCACCCTGCCGCCCGTTCTGGCCTCTTGGGCCTCCTCAGTCACTCAAGATACAGACAGGGAAACGGCTACAGTAGTGGCCCAATTCACGTCGCTCACCCTCGCCGCTGCCGCTGCCGCCCCTTCCGCCGCCACTGCTGCCACGTCAGCAGTCGCCGGCATGCATGCTGACATGGCAGTGAGCATGCCAGCTATTTGCTCATAGTGTCGTAATCCCGCGTTCTTGCTCCTCACACTTTCTCTCATCTTTTCACACGCAACCCTGCCTTCCCATCTCCCATCCCCTTCTTTCCTGTTTTTCCCTTCCCTGCCCTCCCCGCTGCCCTTCCCATCCCTGCCCCACCATTCCCTTTCCCATCCCTTCTCCCTTCCCTCCCTTGCATGCCCTCCTCTCCCCCCTCACTCACTCGTCACCGTCCACCCTCTAGTTCTTGTGCATGTAGTGCCATCACTTGCTTGAATACCTTTGTTGCTTCTCCCCTTCTGCCTCAACACCTTCCCATTGGGCCTTACACAATCGATTTTGCCTACTCTGCCACTTGGCTGTGTTGAAACAGAGAGGAGGCAGCAGTTACAAGCAGAGGCATAACTAGTGGATGTTAGTCACCACTATTGTTTTGTCTCGTGTGCGTTGTAATGCAAATATGGTAGTGAGTTATTTCTGGAGATATTGGCCATGAAGCCCTCCATGTACTACCATGATTAAGCAGTGCAATTTGTCCTTCCAAGATGCATGGACAGGTGTCACATCACACACGAGTAGAAAGAAACATGTTCTCATATAACTTTAGACTGTAGGCAAAGGCCAAGAAGAGCAATACTGTACTATAGGGTGAGGCGTGTTGAAGCAACAGTCACTGAAATTGTCAGGGAAGGGGAAAGAATCCGAGGGCGGGGAATAAGAAAATGGTAATGTTTCAACCACAGGCTGTGATGAGAGGAATCAGCGGGGGGGGGGGGGGGGGGGGGGGGGAGGATGAGGGGAATCAAGGGGGGAGGGGGCGGGGGGGGAGGATATGAGGGGAATCAGGGGGAGAAGTGAGGAGAAGCAGGCTTTGGAGGGCATGTGAGGAAAAGAACATTGAGATCGCTTCCAGCGTTGGGGGGACGGCAGGGAAGGTAACAAGAGAGAATAGTATAGCAGCGAGGCCTGCGGAGGGCACAGTGAGGAGGGGAAATGAGGGGAAGCAGGGGGGGGAATGAAGGGAGGCAGGAGGGGGCGGGGGATAAATGAGGAGAAGCAAGGAAGGGCTTAGGGAGGATGCAGGGAGGGGAGATGGGGATGCAGGGAGGGGAGATGGGGAAATATGCAGCGGATATGGGGAAGCAGGAAGGGGAGAGAGGTATGCAGGGCGGGAAGATGGGGATGCAGGGAAAGGAAGGGAAGAGGGGTTGAGAAGATGGGGAGGAGGGAGGTTAGGGAGGGAAGGGAGAGAAGGGAGAGAAGGGAGAGAAGGGAGGGAAGGGAGAGAAAGGAGGGACGGGAGGGAAGGGCGAGAAGGGAGAGAAGGGAGAGAAGGGGGGGAAGGGAGGGAAGGGAGAGAAGGGAGGGAAGGGAGGGAAGGGAGGGAAGGGAGAGAAAGGAGGGACGGGAGGGAAGGGAGAGAAGGGAGAGAAGGGAGAGAAGGGAGGGAAGGGAGGGAAGGGAGAGAAGGGAGGTTAGGGAGGGAAGGCAGGGAAGGGAGGGAAGGGAGGGAAGGGAGAGAAGGGAGAGAAGGGAGGGAAGGGAGGGAAGGGAGAGAAGGGATGTTAGGGAGGGAAGGGAGAGAAGGGAGGGAAGGGAGGGACGGGAGGGAAGGGAGGAAAGGGAGGGAAGGAGGGAAGCGAGGGACGGGAGAGAACGGAGGGAAAGGAGGGAAAGGAGGGAGGGGAGGGAGGGGAGGGAAGGGAGGGAAAGAGGGAAGGGGGACAGGGAGGGAAGGGAGAGATGGGAGAGAAGGGAGGGATTGATGGGAAAGGGGGGAAGGGAGGGATGGAGGGAAGGGAGGGAAGGAGGGAAGGGAGGGGAGGAGGGAAGGGAGGGAAGGCAGGGAAGGGAGAGTTGAAGAGGGAGGTAGCTTCCATGGTGAAGACGGAAGTGGAGTTTGAAAGGCGGGAAGGGGGGATTGGGAGGCGGGAAGGGGAGATTGGGAGGCAAGAAGGAAGGAAGGGAGGGAAGGGAGGGAAGGGAGGGAAGGGAGAGAAGGGAGGGAAGGGAGATAAGGGAGGGAAGGGAGGGAAGGGAGGGAAGGGAGAGAAGGGAGAGAAGGGAGGGAAGGGAGAGAACGGCGGGACGGGAGAGAAGGGAAATCGCGCGGAGGTAAGAGAGGGAAGGGAGGGAAGGATGCAAGGGTAGGGAAGAGAGCGAAGAAGGGAAGGGAGAGAAGGGAGGGAAGGGAGGGAGGGGAGGGAAGGGAGGGAAGGGAGAGAAGGGAGAGAAGGGAGGGAAGGGAGGGAAGGGAGGGAAGGGAGGGAAGGGAGAGAAGGGAGGGAAGGGAGATAAGGGAGGGAAGGGGGATAAGGGAGGGAAGGGAGGGAAGGGAGAGAAGGGAGGGAAGGGAGGGAAGGGAGAGAAGGGCAGTGAAAGGGGGGTAGGTGAGGGAAGGGAGGGAAGGGAGGCAAGGGAGGGAGGGGACGGAATGTTCTGAAGGGAGAGGGAAGGGAGAGGAGGGAGGGAAGGAAGGGAAGGGAGGGCAGGGAGCGCAGGGAGAGATGGGAGGGCAGGGATAGAAGGGAGGGACGGGAGGGAAGGGAGGGACGGGAGGGACGGGACGGAAGGGAAGGATGGGAGGGAAGAGATGAAAGGGAGGGAAGGCAGGGAAGGCAGGGAAGGCAGGGAAGGGAGGGAAGCGGAGATGCGGGTAGGGATGTGGCGAAATGGGGCTGGATGGGGAGATAATGGGGACATGGGGATGCAGAGAGGGGAGATGGGGATGCAGTGAGAGGAGGTGTGGATGCAGGGAGGCGGTAAGGGGAGAAGGGGAGGTTTGGGAGAATGGGAGGCGGTAATGGGAGATCGGGAGGCCGTAAATTGGGAGAGGGCAGCGGACTGAAGATATTGGGAGGCGCACGAGGGCCCGCAGTTTGTGGCGCGGCCCGCGTGATCGCGGTGGCGTGAGGAGGTAGCGTGGGGCGGCGAGGCGCCGCTGCGAGCGGATTTGCGGCGCGACGCCGCGTGCGGATTTGCGGATAGGTGACGCCGCGAGCGGATTTGCGTCGATGCGACTCCGCGTGCGGATTTGGTGGTACGATACGCTGCGCGGGGATTTGCGGTGAGGCGATGCCGCGAGCAGGGATTCACGGCGAGGCGACACTGCGTGCGGATTTGCGTCGATGCGACGCCGCAAGCGGATTTGCGGCGATGCGACGCCGCAAGCGGATTTGCGGCGATGCGACGCCGCAAGCGGATTTGCGGCAATGCGACGCCGCGAGCGGATTTGTGGCGAGGCGACGCCGCGACGGGCTTTGAGGCGAGCCTTCGAGGCAGCAAGTTGTGGTGGGGCGAGGACGCTACTAGGGGCTCGATGCAAAGGCGATTTGCGGCGGCTGGATTACGCAACAAAGATCGACTCTAGGCTGCGTGGGGAGGCAACGTGATTTCTACGTACAGTGCGGTGAAGCTACACGGCGACGCAGCGGCGACAGACGAATGAATGCGTATTCGGCTAACGCTGGCGCCGGCGCAACCTTCGGTGTACGACGTAACCCTAAGCTCCGAATTTTAACGGTGTGGGTAGGACTGTTCTAGTAGCGCACGCTAAGAACGCTACGTGAGTGAGCTCCCGCGGGGGAAACGAATTAGTATACTTTTGCCATCTATAAACTTCTGACAGTCGAGTGAGCTGGGTGGAGTTGGGGGCCCCTCGTTTCTCGAGAGAGAGGTTGGGTGGGCTTGTAATTCGGTAACCACCATGTACCTTTTATAAACTTTTGGCACTAGCCTTGCCAAGGCCCAGCAAGGTACAAAGCGCTGATGATCACCAGGCGGAAGTGCCTTGGTGAATATATCAGCAGTGTTGGCCCGAGTGGCCACGTGGGCAAGACGAAGCTGACCACACTGCTCCAACTCTCGAGCCAGGAAGTAACGCAGAGCGATGTGCTTCGTTCTGTGCTCCAGTCTGTGCTCCTGACACAAGGCAATGGCGGCCTTGTTGTCGACGTACAGCACTGGAGGAGAACGAGGCCGCTCTCCCAGGTCGGTCAGCAGGTAGGTGAGCCAGCGTAACTCCTGTGCAGCCATGGCTGTGGCGTAGATCTCAGCCTCACAACTGGAGCCGAGAACAGAAGACGAGCGTGTAGAACGCCAAGAAACTGAACCAGAGCCAAGGCTGAAGGTGTAACCCTGTGACGACCGCTGAGTAGCCTGGTCGTCAACCCAAGAAGCGTCCGAGTGACCAGTGAGGACAACCTCACTCCGCCCTCCAAGCACGAGCCCCATGCCTGATGTACTGCACAAGTAACGCAGTACCCTCTTCGCAGCATCCATGTGCACCTTTCGGTGCCGACCAGGAGCCACGTAGCGAGCCAGAAGGCCAAGAGGGTACGCGAGGTCAGGACGAGTGCAGGTCATCAGGTACATGAGGCAGCCAACTAGCTCTGGGTAAGGACCACTCGGCTCTACGGACTCGTCCGAAGGTGGAGCTGAGAGCGAGTGACCTGTAGCCAGAGGAGTGGCCTGTGCCAAGGACCAGGTGAAGCCGAAGCGCTGAAGGACCTGCTGCACCATGTGTGACTGAGTCAGGGTGATGGTGCGGCGTGCTCTGTCCCGGGTGATCTGCAAGCCAAGGTAACTGCGCAGCTCACCCAGGTCTGTGCACGTGTGTCTCTTCTGCAGCTCCGACTTCACCAGGGCGAGAGCCTCAGTGTCAGCAGTGGCAAAGACCAAGTCGTCGACGTACACGAGGATGTAGAACGGCGGCAGCGAAGTGTCGGTGCGAAGAAACAGCGACGGGTCAGCAGTCGACGGAGCAAACCCAAGAGCCGCTAGTGTCGTC